TCTTGGATTAAATTTTTCCCCTTTAAAGGAAAATGAAGTTTAGTAACCCACCACTTAAATTAAATTTTTTTTTTTTTCCCACTTACAAAAATTTCATCAAATATTTCTTGTAAAAATATAAAATAACCCAAAATAATTTTTTTTTTTTTTTTTTAAAAAAAAAACAAATAATAAATCATATCACACATAAATCTTAATTTATTTTTTTTTTTCATTTTTTTTAAAACATCAACCTTTTTTTAAAAAAAAATACATTTAATATATCATACAAAAATAAATAAATATATAAATAAATAAATAAATAAATAAATAAATAAATAGATAAATAAATAAATAAATAAATAAAAAAAAAAAAAATGGATAACAATAATAATAAAAATAATCATAAAAGAAATATTAAACTTCTTTATGATAATGTAAATAATAACAATAACAATAACAATAATAATGATAATAATAACAATAGTAATAGTATAGATAATAACAACAATAATAATGAAAAAGAAGAAATGAGAAAAAAATTAAAAATTTCAATAGATACCGCCATAGAAAATATTGAAGTCAAAGAAGCCATCTCACAATTCAGACAGATAACAGAGTCTGAATTAAGAAAGCTTTGCGATACTGGTCTTGATTTAAAAACCGCTGTAAATAAACTTGTTCATAAAATTCAATTTCCAGATGATTCAAATCCGCTACATTCCTCCAATATTAATATATTGACCTCATATAATAACAATGTTAATAATAACAATAATGAAAACACTAATGGTTTCGAATCTCAATCCGATAAAGAACAAATCAAAATCATTATGGAATATAAAGGTGTCTCAGAAGAGGAGGCTAAAAAAGTATTAACATTGAAAAAAGAAATTGTTAATTTAAGAAAAAATGGTCACAATCAACAAAGTACAATTAATGAATTATCTAGAAGGATTACCCTTGCCAGTTTAAATTGTGTCAATAATAATAATAGGAGTAATGATAATAATGATAAAAATAATAATGATAACAAAAACAACAATAATATACAGTTAATTAATAGCGAAAATATAAATAATATTAGTAATTTAAAATTGAATAGCGAAATAAATAATAATAATAGTATAGGTAATAATAGTAATAGAGAAAACAATAATAGGTTAAAAAGACATTTTGATGACTCAGATCCATTTTTCACAGGTAATAGTTTATCAAGCCAAAATGATAAAAAGAGAAGAATATATAGATTTTCAAAAAGAAAACAACGTTATAATAATAAAACCGATAGTAATAGTGATGATGAAATAGATTCAACCATCAATAAAGATGATTCAGCCGAATTGGATGAAGATTCAACCGAATTGGATGAAGACTCAACCGAGTTGGATAAAAGTAACGATAATAACAAAAATAATAACAACAATAATAATATTACCAAATTAAATAGTAGAAGTTTCAATATAAGATATTTTAGTTCATTTACAGATGATGAATCAGAAGATGAAGCTTTTGATAAGAGTAATCAAAAAGATAACAACGATTTATTAGTGTTCAAAACAATCGAAAATGGCGATAATGAAATAGAAAATGATAGCCCCAATCACTTTATAAACGATAATGAAGATAGTGATAGCTTTGATGCATCATCAGAATATGGAGATCAAGAGGTCACAAGATTACCAACTACCACCACAACAACTACCACCACAACATCGATAGGTTTGAATAGTCACTACCATTCACTTTTTAGCGAAAACGAAGAAGAGGATGACGATGATGAAAGTCAAGAAATTGATATTGGCAATAACAATTTTCAAGTTACCAGAAATAGATATAAATATTTTGATGATCATTTTATAGTTGAAAATCAAGAAAAAATAGAACAAAGCAGTTTCGAAGGCGAAGACTATGAAGAAGACAACGAAGAAGACAACGAAGAAAGCGATGACCATTCTGTTTTCCAACCAAAAAGAAATAGCGACTCGTTACCATTCGAAACATTTGGTAATAGATATGAAAAAAATTTCAATATTAAACTTAAGTCTTTTTCAAATCATTCAAAAAAGAATACAACCCAAACCATTCCCTCCTCTACCCCCTCTTCATCAAACAATACATCGACAACAAGTACAACCTCAACAAATAGTCAATTTAGAAGATTCAGATTTGAAACCGTTTAAACAATGATAAATAATAATAATAATAAATAATAATAATAAAGATAAAAATAGGAAAAGATAAAGCATCTATTAAATTTTTAAAAAAAAAAAAAAAAAAACCTAAAACAAATAAAAACTACCAATATTATTATGTAAATAATTTTATTTTAATTCAATATATTAATTTAATTTATTAATATATTAAATAATAATAATAGCAAAAAATAAAAAAATAACCTCACATTCATTTAACTCTTTTAATAAAAAAAAAAAAATAAAAAAAATTGCATATAATCAACACCAATAATACATTATTATTTTTTTTCATAACATCAGTTTTTATAGATTTAAAAGATATTTTTTTTTTTATTTTGATTTTATAATCAATTTTAATGAGTATTAATTAATACTGAAATAAGTTAAATATACATGTAAATGTGTTAATATTATTCTAGAATAACAAACCCGCTCTATTGAGTTGTCTCATGTAACCTCCAAATGGTTTTTTTGTTAAAAATAAAAAAAAATGAATACAATCCTAATAATGGTTCAGAATAGATAATAGAGGACTTATGAAAAATGAAATAAAATAATATAAATAACTCTCATATTATTTGTTAGCATCATTAAAACGTCTCTATAAATAAAACAATAAATAATTTTTAAAAATGATTTAAATAATAAAAAAAATTATTAAAAGAAAATATTTTTTTTATAATTAAATAAAATATTCTTTTTTTAAAAATACACTTAAATTATTTTTTATTTTAAATTATTTATTTATTTAACAAATTATTTTTTTCATTATTTAAATAATTTTTTTATTTATTTATTTATTTTATTATTTTTATTATTTACTACTAATAAAAGAAGAGAAAATGATTTTTAGTAATTATTTAAAAAACTTTATTGTATTTAATATGGATAATGGTATTAATATTTTGTTTTTATAAAAAGATTCATTAAATAACATAAAGTTAAACAGAAACCCAACCTCAAATTCTTTATCCAATAAAAATTCGTCTCATTCTAATTCTTTTCAAAATAAAAATACAAATGGAAACTGTTTGCATCAAAACTGTCTTAAAAGGGTATTCTTTGACTCTCCATACTGGGATAGCTACTAATTCCTTTATGTTTAAATAATTTTATTTATCCTCCAAAAAAAAAAAAAATAAAAAACTAAAAAAAAAATTGTTAATTAAATGTTTGGTTTTTTAAGAATGTTTTTATTTATTATTAATGTAATTTAAGCACTTGGTAAATAACGTGCAAAAGATAAATAACCAGTGTGTCCACGAGCTTCTGTGAATGGTTTTGAAAGTAAACTATCATTTTTATAACCCTTGATACCGCCAATTTCGAAATTCTTTTTAGTGTTTTGAGAGTAATCATTTGTTTTATATGGATTTGCGAGGTCTAACTCTTCATATTCTTGTAATCTTGTGTCAAAGGTACGAATTAAAACTTCGACTGTTTTGATTTCTTGAAATTTGGATTCTGATAATTTTATACAGGTTTTTTGAACTTGTTCAATACATGGTGAAAAAGAGCATAACATTGAGCCATGGTGCATGACAGCAACTGCATTGTCAACTGCATCCCATGGTGATGGAAGATCTAAAAATACAGCATCGATGGAACCAACCATACCTTCAATATCATCACGACGAAAACCCTCTTTTCCACATGCATCACGATGGGTTACTGTAATATATTTATCTAAACCGTTTTCTTTAAAATCTTTTCTTGCTGCCTTGACACGCTCTTCATGGAATTCAAATGTAAATAAATGACCTTTTGGTGCTACAGTTCTTGCGATTGAGCTTGATAAACTGCCACTACCTGTACCTGACTCTACTACTTTACTGCCGTTTTTAATTTCTAAATTGAATATAATAGTTGAGATATCGAGATTAAATAAAATTTGTGTACGATGATCTAATGTAATACTCCAAAGCTCTGGTGTCATTCCAACAACATGCACAAATCCATTACTATTGTCTGATGTAACTTTGCTACCGTATTCTTTACCTATAATATTTTTGTGTTTATATGATCCATATTTGCTGTTATATTGACCTCCGGCCTCTAATGTCAACATACTCATATTATCCTTGCCACTATATATTACAACTCTATCACCTTCTTGAATAGTTTTTTTTTGATTTAACATTTTATACTATATTTATAATTATTATTTCTATACTACTACTTGTATGTTTTTTAAATAAACCACCACTTTTTTATATCTATTTTTATATTAATTATAAAAAGTAAAAAATAAAAATGAAAAATAAAAAAATAAAAAATCAAATTTTACGAAAACTTTTTTTTTTTTTTCTTTTTTTTTTTTTTTCAAAGTTTTAATTATGAAATAACAATTTCATTTATAAACAAAGAGATTTTTTTATTTTTTTTATTTATTTATTTATTTATTTATTTATTTATTTATTTATTTATTTATTTATTTATTTATTTATTTATTTTTATTTAATTAACTTTACAACTATTTAAAACTGGTGCATCTTTGGCTGAATCAGTGGTTATTATTAATCTTGTATTACCAATGTTTACAAATTTGTCTGTCTTTAATGTCCCTGAAATCCTAAACTCTAATAAAGAACTTGGTTTGATTATTTTTTTAAAATTTTTATTGAAACCCTTTACCAACAGATAACCATCCTCTGTATCGCTATCATTTTGAATTCTGACTATTGTATCTCTTAATATTGATGTGTAATTTTTTGTGGATTCACCTAAATATAAAAAAATTGATTAATTTAAAACTGAATTATATGAAAAAATAATAGAATATTTTGTACAATACATACCTGGATTTAAAAAGTTATTAAGTATTAATTGATCCTTCTCATCATCTTCAATTAAATCATATCCAGTATATTGTGGCATTTTCTTTTATTATTATTTGTTTTTTATATATATATTCACTATTCAAAAATTTTAAGTATAAAAAATTAAATTATAAAAAAAAAAAAAAAAATTTTATATCTTAAGATATTTTTTATATATTCACTATCCAAAAAAATTTTAAGTTTGTAAAATTAAATTAAAAAAAAAAAAAAAAAATTTATTAAATTTTGTGTTCATTACAGTGGTTGGATAGTTTACAAATATAACTTCACTCTTTAACATTGGTTTTAATTAAATTTTAGAAAACATTATAAAATATTGATAAACAAAAATAAAATAACAAAAAAAAATCATTTTGAAAATTAGATATAACCCTATAAATAAAATATCATTATGTTTATCTATTTTTACCACCAAATCTCTTTTAAAAAATAAAAATAATATTAATAGAAAAAAAATATTTCCTTTTTATATATATAAAAAAAAAATAATAATTGACCACCTTACAATTTTTTTTTTTTTTTTTTTATTAATTTTTATAACAGGGGTATTTATATTAAATTTTTTAAAAGTTTTTAACACCCTAATAATAAAAGTACCCACACATATAAGCACACAGCTAATAAACACACAAACACACATATATTATTTATGTGTTTTTTTTTTTTTTTTTTTTTTTGATTTTGATTATATAATTTAATGGGTATTTCAGATATAAAAAAAAAAAATTCGGTGGATAATTTTGTAAAGTGAAATTGGTTTAATATTAAGAAAAAAAATATATTATTTATAATAATAAAAATAGATATAAATATATATATATAATAGTTATAAATCATATTAACACTACGAAAAAAAATCAAATACAATTATTTTTTAGAGCATATTACCACCAGTTTTTTTAATTTAAAAATAAATTTGATTGTATGTGCGCTTTGATATTGGTGTGTGTATGTGTGGTACATCTATTTGTATGTGTTTTAAATTAGTAAAAAATATTTAAAAATAGTATTTTTTTTTTTTTTTTTTTCAATTCATAATAATAAATTCCATTGTAGGAAATATTATATCTTTTAATATTGTTTTTTTTATTTTTTATTTTTTTTTAATTTAATTTTTAACAATATCAAATTTAATTTTTTTTTTTCAATACATTAATAATAATTATTTTTCCCTCTATAATTTTAAATAAAAATAAAAATATTATAATAACTATATTCTTACATTTATTATTTTTATAAAAAGATATAAATTTGTAAATGGGATTGGGAATTGTAAATAAAAAACAACCAACAACATCAGTTTCTAAATTTCAAACATTGTTTGGGGTCGATAAAAGATCGCTTGCATTATTTAGAGTATGTGTTGGTATTGTAGGTCTATATGATTTAATTGAAAGATGGGTAGATATTAAAGCCCACTATTCTGGTAAGTGAAAATATATAAATAAAAATTAAAAAAAAAAAAAACTTTAAAACTAATATAACTATTAAATTTTTTTATTTTAGATGAAGGTATTGTACCAAGATCTATGGTAACTGACAATTTTTGGAACAAATCATGGTATTCATTTCATCTTATGACTGGTTCTGTAGAAGGTATCCAATTTTTATTTTTAATCAATATTCTCATATGCTTCCTTTTATTAGTGGGTTATAGATCAAGACTGATGATGTTCTTACATTATACCTTTGTTCTATCATTGCAAGCAAGAAATAATATTGTTGGTCACGGTGGCGATGTATATATGAGGGTAATTAGTTTCTTTGGTATGCTTCTTCCTATTGGTTCTGTTTTTTCAATTGATAGTGCATTCAAAAAACCAGTTTTAAGAAGAGAAAATAAAAAATTCGCCATTGTAAATTTTGGTAAATATAGAATAGTAATTAAATTAGTTTTATAATTATTTATTAATAATTTCATTTTTATTTAATATTAGCGACATTTGCAATTATACTTCAAATTATTTTTTTATACTCATTCTCTTATGTACATAAAACCGGTGATGAATGGAGAGTTGACTATACCGCCTCATACTATGCTTTACAACTAGATTATTTTAGAACTTTTTTGGTAGATTACATTATAGAATTCCCATCACTTTTAACAGCAATGACCTTTGGTGTATTATATTATGAAGGTTTTGGCTTTGTTCTTTTATTCATTCCATTTTTTACTGCACAAATAAGATCACTTGGTGCATTAGGTTTTACAATGCTTCATATTGGTTTTGGTGCCTTTATGAGATTAGGTATCTTTAGTCCAATCTGTGCCTCTGGAACCCTATTATTATACCCAACTTGGCTCTGGGATAATATTTTCAACAGACTTAGAACAAGAGAAAGAACAGATTTCAAGATATACTATAGTGGAAAATATGGTTACTATATAACCGGTTTAGTTTCAACTTTTCTTTTATTCCCAGAAGTCGAAATTTCACCAACTCCAACATTTATTGATGAAGAATCTTTTATTCAAACAAATAATGGTCTAAATAATATAATCAATAACAATAATAATGCCGCAGATTCATACGATCATATGGACCAACCCAAAATTCAACATGACTCTATTCCATTATGTGTTCAATCATCATCTCATCTAAACAATTGGATTATTACAAGAGATTATAGAGGTAATAAGTTTACTGGATATAATGCATTGGTATCTATTGTTAGAGCATCACCACTATTGTTCCTATTTACAAGATTGTTTGAAAACCGATTTGTCAGCTCATATGGTAAAAAAGTTGTATCTTTCACAGAAAAAGCAATTGTTAAAATCAATGATGATATTTTGGTATTAAAACCAGACAATCCACTTTTTTACAATAATAATATTAATAATGACATTACCATCAATAATGAAAACATTTATACAAATTCAAATATAACCTTAATTAAAAATATATCACAAACAATTAATTCAGATAGCGATGGCGAATGCAGTCTTATAAATAGTCCTCCAAATGGTGCAGCCAATAGCAACTATACCCTCTTAAAGAGTGAAATGATTAATGAAGAAATTGTAAATCATCAGCAATACCAAAGAAAACTAAATAGAAGACGTAAGATAGTTAAACTTTCAAGAAATGCATTTTTCAATATTTTTGCAATCATGGGCATTATATTTGCTCTTGGATGGAACTGTGCAAACACAACATGTCCAATTCCTTCTTTACCCCCATCAATTCATTGGTTAGTATTTTTAACTCGTGTAGATCAAATGTGGTCAATGTTTTCACCAAGACCACCCAATCAACATTGGTGGTACACTTTTGAAGGAACTTTAGATAATGGTGATAGGGTAGAGCTTTGGAACAACGATGGTCTCTTTACATGGGAACCAAATTATGAACCATATACCCGTGATAAACCAAATCCATATCCATCATGCATTGGTAATCATCGTTGGTTTAAAGTATATGAGAACCTTAACAACGGTGCCGGTTATGAATTAATTAGATTAGGTTTAGGCAAATGGATCTGTAGAGAATATAACGCAAGACATTTTGACAACAGATTATGGAAATTTAATATTATATACAGAAACGAATTACAACACCTTAACAATACTCGTTCCTTACTCCCCGATCAAAATTTATGGTCTCATATATGCTATAATAAACCACAAGCTTCAAAAGATGATGATTTATAAAATAGATATTTTAATCAATCATTCATTAAATAAAAAAATAAAAAAAAAATAAAGATTAAATAAAATATAATAAAAAACTTTATAAATTTTTTAAATTGATCAATTATTTTTTTTTTTTTCCTATATTTAAAAAATTGATCATGTTTGCACTGTGTATTTTAATAACTAGACTAATCACAATTCTATTAGGGGAATTATAAAATTGCTTTAAAGTGACATAATTCATATTTTTAGATAAAATTATTCCAAATTCGTTTTTTTGAAAATAATTATAAATTTTTTATTTTTTTTTTTTATTTTTTTTTTTATTTTTTAATTTTAAATTTTTTCATATCCATTTCATTTTTTTATTTCATTTTAAATATTAATATTAATTTATTATTATTATTATAACATCACAGAAAATGATACGATTGGCTAAAAATATAAAAATTAATAAAAATTTAAATAAATTAGCATCAAACTATACAATTAATAATAATAACTTATCTAAATCAATTATTTTAAATAGCAGAAATAATGGTACAAATAAAGACATTAATGTAAAATCATTCACCACTTCCACCAGCACCAGTACCACAAACAAACCAAATCAAACCTATGTTTTTAAAGATCTTAATATTTTTAAAAATGTTAAAAGAGGAAAAGGTACATATAATATCTTTTTATAATTCTAAACTTGAAAAAAACCTATTCTAACATCTTTTTACAAATTTTTTTTAAAAAAATAAAAAATAAAATAAAATAAAAATTTTAAATAAAAAAAAAAAAAACTATAGAAAGAAATTTATATAATTTAAAAGAAGGCGATATAATACATGGTTTCAAAGTTGTTAGAATAAGAGATGTGCCAGAAAGACAGTTTAAAACATATAGATTGGAACATATAGAAACAGGTGCTAAATATTTACATATCGATTGCGAAGATACTAACAATGTATTCAGTGTAACATTTAAAACCATACCAAAAGACTCTACTGGTGTAGCACATATTTTAGAGCATACTACACTCTGTGGTTCAGAAAAGTATCCAGTTAGAGATCCATTTTTTAATATGTTAAAACGTTCATTAAATACATATATGAATGCTTGGACCGCTCCAGACCACACAAGTTATCCATTTGGTACACAAGATCCAAAAGATTTTTATAATCTTTTATCAGTTTATTTAGATGCAACATTCTTCCCATTACTTAAAGAAAGCGACTTTAGACAAGAAGGACATCGTTTGGAATTTGAACAATTGGACCAACCAGAATCATTATTAAAATTCAAAGGTATTGTATTCAACGAAATGAAAGGTGCTCTTTCTGATCCATCCTCATTTTATGCCGAAGTTGCACAACAACACTTATATCCAGGTACAACCTATGCACACAACAGTGGTGGTGAACCAAATGAAATTCCAAATTTAACCTATGAACAATTAAAGGATTTCCACGCTAAACACTATCATCCATCAAACTCTTACTTTTTCAGTTATGGTGATTTAAATTTCCTTGACCACTTAAAATTCATTCAAGAAAACTCATTATCTAAATTTAAAAAAGACAATTTAATAAATACAAATGTTGGAAAAGTTGACCGTTGGACTGAACCAAAAAGATTACATTTTAAATGCCCACCCTCAGCCAGTAAGTTATAAAATCATACACATATTTAAAATTATCTGTTTATATTAATACCAATATAATTTATTTGTTTAATTATTAGTGGATATTAATCCAGAAAGAAAATATAAATTCTCAATTTCAATTTTACACAAGGAAAATAAAGATTTATTTGAATCATTAACCATGCACATGCTTTCAAATTTATTATTAAGAGGATCAAACACACCAATGTACCAATCATTATTAGAAAGTGGCTTAGTATTAGATTATTCACCAAATACAGGTTTTGATGACAATTTATTAGAATCAAGTTTTTCAGTTGGTGGTATTGGTATAAAGAAAGAAGATTTAGAATTGGTTGAAAAAACTATTATTCAAACATTAGAGAAATCAGCAGAAGAAGGTTTTTCAAGACAAGTTATTGAATCAATTCTTCACCAATATGAATTTGCCCAAAAGGATGTCTCTGCATCATTTGGTTTGAAATTAGTTGGTGCATTAGCTTCAAGTTGGATTCATGGTAATGACCCAGTTGACCCATTATTCTTAAATGAAAGTATTGCTCATCTTAGACAAGAACTCGATAAAAGCCCATTCTTTGAGAATAAAATTAAAGAACTTTTAGCAAACCCACACAGACTTTACATCACAATGGAAAATGACGAAAATTTACAAAAAGAAGATACCGAAAAAGAAATGGAAAAATTAAAACAAATTAGAAGCAAACTCTCTGAATCACAAACTAATGAAATTGTTGAAATGGCTAAAGATTTACAAAATAGACAAAATCAACAACAAGATGTAGCCGTACTTCCAAAAATCAACATTTGTGATATCGAAAAGCAACAACCAAAAGTACCACATCACGACACCACTCTTGGCTCCACTCCATTACGTATTTTAGATCTTCCAACTAATGGTATTAGCTATTTCCGTTCTACCATTGATATCTCCTCATTATCACCAGAGTTAAAACCATATGTTCCATTATTTTGTTCATTAATCGATGAAATGGGTGCAGGTGAATTTGATCACAAACAATTAGATACCGAAATGAACCTTTATATTGGTAAATTTAGTGTTTCCCCATTAATTACAATTGGTCATAGCGATTTAAATCATACTCAAGAAAGAATCTACATTAAAGGTGCCTGTTTAAACGAAAATTTGGTTAAAATGTTTTCATTATTACAAAAAGTACTCTTAGAAAATAAATGGAAGAACCCAGATCTCCTCAAAAATTTAATTGGTCAAAAACAAGCATCCCTCGTCGAAGGTATCCCATCATCAGGTCTATCATACGCAAAAACCTTAAGTAGCAGTAAATTTACAAGAGCTGGGGAACTTTCTGAACAATGGAATGGTCTTACTCACGTTAAATTAATCAATGATATCGTATCGAAAAATGACATGGATTCCTTAATTTCAAAATTACTTCAAATCAACGAATTTATTTTAGACAGATCATTAATGAAATGTTTAATCACCACCGAAGGTAATAACGTTGCAAACTATACAGAAAAACTCAACGATTTTATGAAAGTATTCTCATACAAAAACACTGAAATGGTTGTTAACACAAAGAAACCAGTTGATCCAACAAATGATTCACGTTTCAATTTCTTCCCAATCCCAGCTACAGTTAACTATATTTCAAAAACACTTCAATCTGTACCATACACCCATCAAGATTCTGCACCAATCCAAATCCTCACTAAAGTACTCTCTGAGTATCTCCACAAAGAAATTAGAGAAAAAGGTGGCGCATATGGTGGTGGTGTTTCAGCTGATGGCGGTATTATTTCATTCTACTCTTACAGAGATCCAAATTTAGATAAAACTCTTAATGCCTTCAATCAATCAATTCATTGGTCATTAAACAACAATATCACAACCGAAACTATTGAAAATGCTCAACTTTCAATCTTCTCTGACTTTGATTCACCAGAATCACCATCAAATAAAGGTGTTGGTGAATGGATGAGAGATATCACTGACGAAATGAAACAAACAAGAAGAAACAATCTCCTTTCAATTAACAAACCAAAATTAGAAGAAATCTCTAAAAACTATTTATTAGAAAACAATAATAATTATGTAACTGTTTTAGGTTCAAAGGATAGCTCAGATTTAAATAAATTCAATATTAAACAAATCACAGTTTAATAAAAATTTAAAAAAAAAAAAAAATTATAATATTCATTCATCATTATTATATTTAAATAATTTTTCATTATAATTAGTATTTGTATGTTATTTTTGATTATTATATTTAATTTTTTAATATTTTAAAAGTTTTACTAAATTAGATCACTATGGCTCATAATTAAATTTGTATTTATAGCACCATTCAATAAATGTATTAGATTTATAATTTCCAAAAAAAAAAATTTGTATTGGGTGTGTGGGTGTGTTAAAAAAAAAAAAGAAAAAATTTTTAAAAAAATTGGATGATACAGTGTGTTTGTATATATTTAAATATTGAAAGTTTAAAAGGGGGTATTTAAATAAAAATAGAATATATTAAGAATTTTATAAAACTTTTTTTTTTTTTTTTTTTTTTTTTTTTTTTGACAATATGAATTTGTGACGCGAAACCTTATTCAATCAATATAAAAAAAAATAAAAAATAAATAAAATAAAATAATTACAAAAAAAAAAAACAAAAATAAAAAATTTAAAAAAAAATTTTTAAAAAAAAACTGCATTATAAATTTTATTTTTTTCATTTCATAGTTTTTAATTTATTATTATCCTCAATAATAATTTATTTGTAAATATAGAATGAATAAATTATTAGCTTTATTATTAGCCTTAGCTTTATTTGCTGGCTTAGCTTTATCATGCGATGGTATGCATACATTTAAAAAATTAAAACAAAAAAAAAAAATAAAACAAAACAAAACTAAAAAAAATAAAAATAAATAAATTCAACAAGTACTAACATTATTTTATTATTATTAATAATTTATAGGTCATGACCACGACCACGATCACGACCACGATCATGATCACGAAGAATCATTTGTTAAAACTTTATGTAAAGACAGTTTCCAAAACTTCATTGATGAACACGATGTTTCATTAGTTATGTTCTTTGCCCCATGGTGCGGTCACTGTAAAAACTTAAAACCACACTACGAAGAAGCCGCCAAAACTTTATCTACCAACAAGAAAATCGCCTTAGGTAAAGTTGACTGTACTGTTCAAGAAGAACTCTGTCAATTAAACAAAGTTCAATACTACCCAACTTTAGTTGTTTACAAAAACGGCAAAGCTGAACCATTCGAAGCTGAAAGAAACGCCAAATCAATTGTCGTTGCTTTAGAAGAGTAAGTTTTAATAATAATCATAATTTTAAATATAAAACATAGTACTTATTATTTATTTTTTATTAAATTTATAGAGAATTAAAACCAAACGTTGCATCATTAGAATCAAATGAAGAAATCGAAGAATTCAAAAAGAGCAACCCAATTGGTGTTGTTGGTTTCTTTGATAACGATCATGATGATAGATACAAACTTTTCACCGATTTAGCCAGTTCACAAAAGAAACACGCTAAATTCGCTGCTGTTATTGGTAAAGATTTCTCAAAAGATCACGTTAAAGCCACACCAAATGTTGTATTATACAGAAAGTTTGATGAACCATCTGTTGCCCACGAAGGTGATTTTGAAATTGAAGCTCTTAAAAACTTTGTTTCTGGTAATGTTGTTCCATTAGTTGGTGAAATTAACCGTGAAACCTACAAGAAATACGAATCAGTTGCCGTTCCATTAGCTTATCTTTTCTTAGATTCAACTCAAGACAACAAAGATACCCTCGCATTCGTTGGTAAAATCGCCAAAGAAAACAAAGGTAAAATTGTTTTCTGTTGGGTCGATATGAAGAAATTCCCACAACAAGCCACCCATATGGGTCTCTCTGGTGAAGTCACCCCAGCTCTTTCAATTGACGACTCTGCCAACTTAAAAGCCCGTTTCAACTTTGAAGAAAAATCAGACTTCACCGCCGAATCTGTTAAACAATGGGTTAGCGACGTCTTAAACAACAAAGTTGCTCCATTCGTCAAATCACAACCAATCCCAGAAAAGAACGACGGTCCAGTCAAAGTTGCCGTTGGTCACACTTTCAAAGAACTCGTCTTAGATAGCCCAAATGATGTTCTTGTTGAATTCTACGCTCCATGGTGCGGTCACTGTAAAAAACTCGAACCAATCTACAACAAACTTGGTGAATTCATGAAAGACATCAAATCTGTTGACATTGTTAAGATCGATGCCGACTCTAATGACGTTCCATCATCACTCGAAATTAAAGGTTACCCAACCATTATGTTATTCAAAGCTGGTGATAAAGAAAACCCAGTCCAATATGACGGTCAAAGAAATAACCACATGGACTTTGCTGAATTCATTCACGATAAAGCTGCCATTAAATTCGAATTACCATCAAACACTGAAGAAGATGATGAAGACGAAGGTGAACCAATTGTATCAAATAAAAAAGAATCTAAACATGATGAATTATAAATTTAATATAATATAGTAATAATAATAATAATAAAAAATATAAAAATATAAAATAAATTTATATTTTTTTTTTTTAAAAAAATAATCAATATGCTTATGTTGCACCCCCCTTCTATTTTTCATTTTTTTTTTCTCGTGGTTTTTTCTCCCTGATTTTTTTTTTTTAATTATATTTTACTTATAAATAATTATAATAATAATAAATAAAATTATAAAAAAATAAGGGAATAAAAATAAAATTCTCTAATATATAATTAATTATAAAATATATTATAGATCTTAAAAAAAATAATTAAAAAAATAAAATAAAATATATAATTAATTTTTTATTTTTTTTTATTTTTATTTTTATTTTTTTTTATTTTTTTTTTTTATTTTTTTTAAATTTTTTTTAAATTTGATAACTCTTTTTTACACACACAAGAAATCTAAATTTGCACCATTATTTTTTTCTCCTATTATAATTATTAAACAAATCTTTATTATTTTTTTATAATTTCTTTTTCTAAAAAAATATATAAATAACACATTATATATTAAAGTTTATAATAAAATAAATAAATGTTTTTTTATATTATAATAAAATCAAAAAAATAATAGTAAATAATTTTATTATATTAAATACTGTATATAATAATAATAACAATAAATAATAATAGTAATAATAGCACTAATAATAATATTAATCAAAATTATATTTATAGTCCACACTTATTAATTAATAAAACATAATAATAAATTTATTAAAAAAATAATGTTTACAGAAGAAAAATTAAATAAATGGAGACTTTTATTAATTCTTAGTTGTTTAATTGGTATAATAGCGCCAACATTAATTATTACAGCATTTGCTTTATTTGATCCATCAATTATTATAGTTAAAATATCGATATTACAAACCTATAATTTAAATGTTAGGGTACGTATAAAAAAAACAAATAATAGTAATAATTGCCTTGGGATAAAATTTACTAACAAATTATATTACTATTACTTTTAGAGATGGGAAACAACATATAAAAAAGATTTTGCATCACACAAGTTTTATTTATATATGAATGAATCGGTTGGATTCGATACAATTTTTGATAGCAGCAGCAGCATTGGTAATAGTTCAAATAGTAGCAGCAGTTCAGAAAACAGTGAGGTAATAATAGATGATAGCAGTGTCATCAGCAGTAGTTTTGACAGCGATAGTATGGATGATAGTTTATCAAGTGGTGAAAATTCATTTCATGCACCTTTTATACAAACAAATATAGCGGAACATGTTTCATATCCAACTACAGAAATGATTCAATTGTATACACCATTGGTATTTGGTGTTAATACTTCAAATTTTTTACCAAATAAGTTAAAACTAAATCCTAAAAATTTTCACCCCTATAATGTTACCCTTTATTTATTTGTTAGAAAACCTTCAGCAAATCACCTTACTTTTGTGTCAACATTATCTTTTCCATTATTTAAAAAACTACCCAAACCCAACGATGATGTTAAAACTACACACAGTACCCTCCATAATTATACTTCAAATGGAGCTCAAAGCACAGGTAATAGCAAACCAAACATCGAAACAGAAGGAGATAGAAATGATTCATTAGTAAATAATAATTCAATATTAGAAGAACATTTTAAAAAATCAATTTTTCAAGTTTTTGATAATGCCTGTTTCGTTTATAAAGATTCGGTGTTATTGGCAGAACCTTGTAAATATAAATCAAGCGTTTATAAGTATGTAGAATTATAAATTTGTTTAAAAATATTATTTTTACTAACGGGATTTTTTTTATAAACATAGCTATACAAATATAAAACATTTTAATGAAACTTTGTATTTTAATTCGACCAACATTAGAATAAAATCGTATAGAGATCCTTATATATTGGCAGGAAATCTAACAGAGGGATCATACACATTTGCAATGAGCAAAGAAACTCAAAGACATTTGGGTGTAGCATTTTTAATATCCGGGTGTGTAGCATTTTTATTGTTTTTAGTAATAGTCTGGATTGTTGTAAAAATGAAACGTTATCAAACTAGTTTAGATAAAATTGATGATATAAATACAAATCAATTTGAAATGGAGGAATATGGTCATAGTCCAAATAATAGCAATAATAATGAAAATAGTCCAAATAATAACAATAACAACAATAGTAATAACCATGGTATAAATGGTGCTATAGTTAATAGAAATAGAAATGGCCATTATCAATCACAACATTATAATAGAAATACTATTGAAAATATTACAAGCAGTCGTAGCAGCACACATAGTGGTGTTGGAGGTGGTAGCGATACTCATAGCATTCATTCAGATAATAGAAGTCGTCATAGTGGTAATAATCGTCATATTCATCTTCACCATCAACATCATCACTATACCGATAATGATGGTGATGACCTACCAAATTTCTACAGCGATAATATTGAAAGCAGTAGTCATATCCAAAATTTAAATAGCAGTGGTATTAATATTGGCCATAGTAATAATCTAAACCAAAATCAACAATTGTATCCACCTAGATATAGCAATAGTCACAGCCATGGTCAACCAACATCATCATCATATGGTGACGATGATTCATCACCATCCCCATCAGTGCCATTACACCAACATTATCATCATCATCACCACCACTACCATTTAGGTGGAAGTATAGGAAGTAACCAAAACCTTAGCTACGATGATGAACACGACTTAATTAGTGCCGAGGATGAACAAAGATTTCAACAAAACCTAAATGTTTTTAACTTTATAAGAAGAGAAAGAAATAACTCACAATCAATAAATAGTATAACAATGGACAATGATAGTAACTCTATAATATCACATAGTAGATCAACCAATCAAGCAAATAGAAATAATCAAAATAGTAATAATACAAATAATACAAACAATACAAATAATAATCATAGTAATAATAACACTAATAATAATATCGATAGTAATAATAATCATAGTAATAATAATAATATTAATAATAATGAATTAAGAAGCTCATTTAGTATTTAATTTCTCAAATAATAGTAATAGTAGTTTTAAAATTTTACCAAATTGGTAAAATTAGAAATAATATTTTTAAAGTTTGATAAAAAACAAGAAATATTAATAAAATAAACTTTATAAAAAGAAGGATTTACTTATTCGTAAAAGATAACAGTAGATTCTTCTTTTTTTTTTTGTATATATTTATTTAAAAGTTCTATAGAACTATAGTTGTTGTTTTATATTTTAGTTTCATAAATTAAAATTGTTTATTATTTATTTTTTGTTAAATATTTAATTAGAGATAATATCACTGAATTGAAAAGGAAGTGTGTTTTTACTGATTTTTACAAGCTCTAAATATAATGATTCTTCTGAGGTTGGGTAGTTATTATTATTATTGTTATTATCTATATTAAGGTGAAGTTGGTTGTGAAGATGGGTATCGCTATGTTGGTTATTAATCTCCATATTACTACTGGTACTTTGTTGAAGCGATTTAATTATATTTGAAATGCCCTCAAATTGTGAAACCAAATTACTGTCTATTGAAATTAATATCTTATCATTATTTATGTGAATATTGGTATCCATATTATCTGAGGATTTATTACTATCTATATTATCTGTATTGTCTATATTATTTACATTATTATTTTCATTATTTTTATTTACTATTAAAGATTGATTTGAAATTGTATCCAAAATATGGGATATTTGCTCGGATAAATCACCTAAAGAATCTTGGTATTGTTTCTTTTTCTTTATTTCTATTGTACAGAGTTGGAGTAATTTCTTTTCAAACTCTTCTCTTTGGACCATTTCCTTTTGTAATGAATGAAGAAGCATTGTGGACTCCTCATGTTTTTTCTCTGCAATTATTCTTCCTGATCTTTCCGCATGGATTTGTTCCATTAACTCTTGATTCAAACCAAGGAGGCGGTTAGTGTTGTCAATAGTATTACTATTTATGTCATTATTATTATTTATTTTGTTATTTGTATAGATTGATGATGTTGATGATGAAATTGAAGATGATGAAAAATCTTCATATGAATCGAAAGCATCTTCAATATTTTTATTTAATTCGATATTGTCATTATTAACAATATCTTTATTTGTTGAAAAAAAAGAAAATATTTTTTTGAATCTATTAAAAAAAGTAATTTTATTATTATAAGCATTTGTATTGCTATTGTTATCATTTATATCATTTATATTATTTGAACTATAGTTTAGATTATTATTATTATTATTATTATTTATATTATTATTATTGTTGTTGTTATTGTTATTATGATTTATATTATTATTTCTCCTTTTATTTTTATTTTTATTGTTAATGTTATTATCATCATCATCTAGACTATATACGCTATATATATCTTCACTCTCTGGTATAAAAGCAACTATTCCAAATAATACTAAAACTGATGCGATTATTATAACTGTTGGTGATGGATTAGTTATGGAGGTTGATATGGGTAATGCCATTTTATTATATTTTTATAATTTTTATAATTTTTTAATTAATTTGTAAAATATTATTTTTAGTTTATAAAATAATGAAAAGAAAAATGTAAATTTAAAATATTTTAAATATAAAAATGAAAAGGTATAAATTAATGATTACACCAACTTAATTATTTAAAAATAATTAAGAAAAACAAATTAATACGTGTGTTGTTGATATAATATATGATTTTTTAAAAATCACAAAAGAAAAAAAAAATAAAAAAAAATAAAAAAAAAAATTAATTTCATTTTTTTTAATTTTTTTATTTAAAATAATTATTTCCAATATTTCTTTGAAAACATATTAAACAAAAATTATATATATATATGTATATAAACAAATAATAATAACATAATTATTTTTATTTGTATTGATTAACCGATTTTGTTCATTTTTTAAAAATTAAAAATCTAAATGATAATAAAAAAAGTAATCAAATTTAAATTTAATGATATTAAATAAATAAAATCAAAAAGAGAAAAAAAAAAGAAATAAATAAATAAAGAATTTAAAAGAATAAAGAATAACAAAAAAAGAATTAAAATTTTATTTATTAAAAAATAAAATTTTTTTTTTTTTTAATTTTTTTAATTTTTTTTTTTAAAATTTTTTTTTTTTTTTTTTTGGATTTAAAAAAACGAAAGAATAAATTATTATTTTTAAAAAAATTGTTATATTTTTACTTTTATTTTTTTTTTTATTTATATTTATATATTTAAATAATAATTTATTATAAAAAATGACTAAAAAGAAATCAAATTTAGGAGATACCTTAATTAAATCTAGAAATAAGAGATTAGGTAGAACTTTCAATGAACAAACCATTGGTGTAAGTATTAAATACACACACATTTATAAAGAAGAAAAAAAATAAAATTTTAATAATTTTTTTATTTAAATATTTTTTTAGATGTTTACAACAGATATTGATCCAAAAGAAGAAAGAAGAAAGTTATATTCAAATACAGATATAGGTAATAATTTAGAGAATTTTTTAGAAATTACCAGTCTTGAACAAAAAGTATTTGAAAGTGAAAAACAAAATGTCGTTGTTATTACTAAAACATCATCAACAGTTTTATCAAAAGAAGAAAAGGAACAAAAAACATTAGACCATCAAAAACTTATGGAAAAACATAGATTATTTTGGAATAGTTTAACAATTCCTCGTAGACCATCATGGAATGAAAATACAACCACAGAAGAACTTTTAGAATTAGAAAAAGAGGTATTTTATCATTGGAGAAAGGGTATTGCAAAATTAGAAGAAGAACAAGGTTTATTAGTCACACCATTTGAAAAGAATGCCGAAGTATGGAAACAATTATGGCGTGTTGCAGAACGTTCAGATCTTTTAGTACAAAATTGTAGATTGCAGAAATCCATTATTATTTAGATGTCCAGATTTAGAGAAATATGTTAAAGAAATCAATCCAAATAAAGTCAGGGGTGGTGATTAGTAAATAAAGCCGATCTCTTAACCAAGTTACAAAGAAAGAAATGGGCTAAATATTTTGAAAGTGAAGGAGTTAATTTTAGATTTTTCTCTGCTCATAAAGAACAAGTTCGTATTGAAAAGCAAAAACAATTAAATCGTCTTATTGAAGAAGGCTCAATCGACCCAGAGATTGTAGAGATGGAAGAAAGAAAAAGAAAAGAGCTTTTAGAACAACAAAACGAATCTGAAGAAGATAGAAAGATTAAAATTTTCGATCGTGAAGAAATTTTAGAAGAGTTCCTCAAACTTCAACCAAAACCACTCCAAGATAATCGTTACAATAATCGTGTTGTCGTTGGTTTAGCTGGTTATCCAAATGTTGGTAAATCAAGTACAATCAATGTTTTATATGGTGAAAAGAAAGTCGCAGTAGCTCCAACTCCAGGTAAAACCAAATATGTTCAAACTATTATTCTCGATGAAGAAATCGTACTTTTAGATTGTCCAGGTTTAGTATTCCCAACTCTTTCTACATCAAAGGCCGATCTTGTCTGTAATGGTCTTTTACCAATTGATCAACTCCGTGATTTCATTTCACCAGTAGATTTAATTTGTGAACGTTTACCAAGAACCCATTTAGAAGAATTTTATTCCATTGGTATTCCAAAACCAAAAGAACACGAGCCACAAGATAGAGCCCCAACTGCCGCTGAATTCCTTTCTGCATATGGTTATATGAGAGGTTTTAGAACTGTACATGGTGCACCAGATCAATCAAT